ACCTTCCCCATATCTAAAAGCATTTTTCCAGCTCCTTTCCCCCTCTACACATGTGCATTACCATCCAGTGGGACTAGAGTACCAAACTGAGCCATCCAGAGAATTAATCCATGAATTTCAGCATTTTGTAGGTCCTGAGAGTATCTTCCCATTAAAACATCTTCTTCCAGCTCCAAAACCAAACATCAGAAATTCACATCTAAGTAAGTGAGCAATGGTTTTGCTAATCCCTTCTTAGCAAAAGCATGGCTTCTCAAGAAAGCAGGTTTCACCTAGGATCTGAAGCCTTGTGTGAATGTGCCTGAAGGAATTGCTCCTGGCCTTGTTTGGTATCAGTGGATCCATGGGTGTTTGCAGCAGAAGATTCCTGTGTGTCCATCCCAGCTCCACTCCCAGCCAGGGCTACACAAAGCTGTCCTAACAGGAGGGGAAAGTCAGAGAGCTGTCCTCTTACCTTGTAAGGGGTAGTGATTGAACACTACAATCAGTTCTTTTATTACCCAAACACTGCCCAGGAAGGGAAATAATATCTAAAGCACTAGGAAGATGGCAAGGAACAACAACATCACAAAAAAATTAAATTGGCTCTGTTTTCTTGAGGTTTCCCCTCAGGCCCTTTAGCACAGCAGACATTACCACTGGTTTAGTAGCAGCAGTGGGGAGTACACCTTGACAGCAGCAGAGCTGTGTTTTAGGGTATTTTCTCTTCTTTAGATGAAAAGACAGGCTTTTGGATTCAGGCTAAAAAAAAAAAGTATTCATCCTGCTAAGTAGATTGAAAGAGAATCCAGATTAAATAAATCATTCCAGAATGTTATCCACCTGTTCTGGCCTGTAATTTATTTTCAGATGAACAGTAGGTAAAAAAAAAAAAAAAAAAAAAAAAAGGCAATACAATGGCAAAAATAATTTTCCTCTAACAGATGCTTTGATCCTGAAATGACACCTGGCCTGGGCAGCTGCTTGTGCAGTTTTTGAGATCATTTTGAACTAATTTCTCCAACCCACTGCTCCATAACCTCAACAGCCACATCAAGCTAAAACTTCTGTGGTAGACACCTTTGAAAAGGGATCTTCAAGGGGTTTGTTGCTGCAAAGGCAGTAAAATTTGTCCCTTTTTTGTGGGATAGGGAACCTGTAGGGGAACAGGACAACAGGCAAATACCAGGCAGCTGGGGGTGAGGGGTGTAGACCATTTCAATGCCAGGGTCATTCTCCTCATGTGCTTGTGCAGCAGCAAAGGAAGGGTTTGCCTCTCTTGTGTTCCTAAAGGGAGGACTGTGCTTCAAAGGTTGGGAAGCAACCTAGCTGGTCACGTGTATTGTCCAGACTTTCTCACGACTCAGAAATGGTTCCCTGTCCTCTCCAGGAGAGTGCCAGTGTGTTTTGTGCTGCCCACGTTGGCTGGGGATGGCAGGGAAGGGAGGTGACAAGGACCTGAGATGGAGGACAGCAGCCAGTGCTGGCAGTTTGGGGAAGGTGCTGAAGGATGGTTATTGTCCCGCTCTCCCACACCTCCTCTGGCTCAGATGCAGCTGAAGGCAGCTGCAGTCCAAAACCCCAATTTCATGTCTCTCCAGTGTATATTTAAACAGATTTAGTCAGCTCGTTTGGCAGTTTTGGGATGGATTCTCCCAATTGCTGAATGCAACAACGCTGAGAGGCAGGAATCCTCTGCAGCAGCCCCTCTGTGGGAAAGGAGGGGGAGAGGGGGCAGAAACCCTGAGCCAGGGGTGTGCGGAGGAAGCAGCGGCTGCCCGCCGCCTCAGCCCTCGCTTTTCGGGGCTTGCTCCGGTCCCCGGTAGATCGGGCTGACGGACGGCAGCTCTGGGCGCTCCAGCCCGTCCGTGCGCTCACCTGGGGCCGGGCAGCGGGGCCGCTGTCCCCGCGGGGAGCGGGGCCGGGCGCGGGGGTCACCGCGGGGGCGCAGGAAGGGCCGGGGGTGCCCGGGGAGCCGCGCCGTCTCGGCCGCACAAAGCCGCCTTTTCATCGCGGCCTCCTGCCCCCGCCGGGCCCGTAATTGTCTTTGACAAAACTTCATTAGCGAGCGCGGCGGAGGCGGCGGCGGCCCCGCGGTCGCGCTGGCTTTGAGCGGGCGCAGTGGAGTGTGCGCGGCCCCGCCGCTCCCGCCCGGGGCCATTAGCCCGGCGACTTTGTTTTAGAAACTTCCCACCCCAGCGGGGGACGCGACAGCGAGCCGCCCCCGCCCGCCCCCGCGGCCGCTAATTGGGGGGCGATGCGGGGCTGCGGGGCTGCTGCCAGCGCGTCCCCACGAGCTGCGGAGAGGGGGAGACCCGGCCCTTCGGAGCCAGGGGGGTGCCGGCAGGGGCTGGGGTGTGTGAGCGCTGCTGCGGTGCCCCGGCTCCGCGGGGGCTTCACCTTGCGCGCCCGGCTCGCGTCCCGCCCCGGCCCCATCTCCCCGAGCCCGCCTGGCACAGCCCCGCTGCCCCCGCTCCGCCGGACAACCCGGGTTCAATTCCCAGAGAAGGGGCATTAAAAAGCCCATCTCGTAGCAAAGCTCAGACAGGGACGGTTTAAATACGTTTATTATGGCATTGGAGGCGCTGAATCTGTTCGTGCGAGCCCGTTATTTTAGTTTTGTGCCTGGGCGCACGCAGGCTCTGCTGCCCGTATTAGTTCTCCATCAATCCCCGCTCTGGTTTTTAATCAAAACAGTATTCGGAATATGATTCCCGGAGATTATATTTTGAGAGATTTGCGATACATATCTTGCCGGCGTGACAGATTGCAGGGGAGTCCTGAGCGGGCGGGATAATCTGCATCTCGCTCACTTGACCTTTAATAAAAGGGGAGTAAAACTAATAAATAAAAAATAAAAGTCTTAAGACTCCTGCAGGTTACCTCCGTGCCTGCCTATAAGGGACCCCGAGGCCTGCATCCGCCTAATTAACTCCCCCGCGGGCTTCGCGGCTCTTGGGCGGCCAGGGCAGAGAGAGCCGGGGGATTGCGGGGCCGGGGGCAGAGCCGGCAGCTCGGGGGAGCTCCTGGCCAAGGGGGCCGTGCAGGTTTCGTCTCCCGTGAGCAGCTCGGGAGGGCGATGCAGAGCTGCCTCCCCGGGGAGCCTCTAACAAAGCCGCCGGGAAGCGGAACCGGAGGAAGCCGGGTCGCTCCCCGGCAGGACGGGACCCAGCCGGGAGGGAGGCCCGGCCTGGCTCTGCCGTGCGGACACGCGTGGGAATCCTGCACATGTGCTCCCAAGGCAGATAATACCTGTCCTCTCCGGTGGGCGGAAAAGTCGCCTTGCAAGAACCCTTCGAAAGGGCCTAATACTCTTTATTACAAGCCCTAATCCTTCAAATCCGACTTGAAATAATGTTTATATTTTCGCAGCTTAATTTCCCCTTCTCTAAGCTTCGGGTCACTGCAACAGACTGCTGCTGCTGCTGCTGCACCGCCTCTTGTCCAGGGCTGCTCCGGAGTGCGGGAAAGCCCCGTGGCCGGGCAGCTGCGGCGGGGCTCCCGACGGGCCCGCACCGCTCTCACCCGCTGCCCTCGTGTGCACTCACGTCCCCCTCCCTTTCCCCCCCGATCCTCCAGAGCCCGACTAAGTTTGCCTTCTCTCACAGTGCCCTCTGCTCCCGGTAAGGGCCGCGGATGAAGCCGGGGGCAGGCCCCTCATATCTCCCTGCGTTGACCTGCAGCTCCTCCTTTCCACTACGAATTGCTTCTGCGGTCGCAAACCCAGGGGGCTCCCAGTTATGCAGCCCCACTCGTCTTGAGTAGCCTTTAGTAAACATATAGAAGTCTACTCGATATTCAAGATTGATTTCCCTGATTTATTAAGGCAGAATTCATTGGACTCTATTGACCACAAATGACTTAATGTAAATGCTGACCCCGGTGAACTTGGAAATAGCAGGTATCGGGTTGATCTATAGATGACCTCTTAATTACCACAGTTATTAATTTAAATTATTGCCACTGCTTCTAGAGACAGGAACAAAGAAACATTCTTTCCTCATCCCTGCTTGGTTTATTAGTCTGAACACAAAGTGTTTGATGACACTTTTAATTAAACAGAAATAATGCAGAGATACGGTTTCCCTTTCTCGTCTGTCCTGTAAAGTGCAGCACTGCTCTTTTGACTGACTGACGGCGGTGACCCACTAACAACGTCCTACTTCGCCACCCGCTGCCCGGGGGTGCCCCGGCCGTGCCCCGGGGCGGGTGGCGGTGCCCGGGGCCGCTCCTCCCGGGCTGTGCCGGCTCTTGGCTGGAGAGCTCCGAGGTCACTGACGGCTTCGTGGCGTTCAGCTCACCCGTGTTAATTAGACTCCGAAAAATACTTTCAGCGGTATCTATGTACAGAGACGGGAAAGAAACAGTCCGGCGTAACCTGCGCCGCTTCTCCTCCTTCTCCTCCCCGGGATGGCGCGGAGCGACTGCGAACTGGTGCCCCTTGGCAGAGCAGGGCGCTGAGCAGAGAGCGCAGGTTTGGGAGGAAAAGGAGAAACAAACCACGACGTGGGGGGAAAAGAGAAAATATTAGGGTAGGGGGTTTTCTTCCTTTTTGCAAAGACGTCAATGGGCAATATTGAACACATGGCAGGCGAGCGGCGGGGAGGCGCCGGTCCTGCGGCCGCTCCGCCCGCCGCGGCCCCCGGCCCCATGTGCGCAGCACGTTGTGCCGCGGCGGCCCTTCCCCGGCGAGGGCAGGGCAGGGCGGAGCCGCGAGGCCACCGCCGGCCCGGGGACAGGTTTCTTTCGTTCCGTCAAGCCGAGTGCTTCCTTGCAGCCGGAGCCCCGTCGCCAGCGCCCAGGATGGGGCGGGCGGCCCTGCGGGACGGAGAAGCGGTGATGAGCTGGCGCTAAGTGGCCGCGGGTCGCTGCCCCGCCCGGACGGGAGCTCCGGGAGCGGGGCAAGGCGGCGGCCTTGGCGCAGCGCTCTCAGGCCGGGGCCGCTGCGGTGTCCCAGGGCCAGGCGGGCTGGAGTGCGCTTCGTGCGAGGTGGGGCCCCGGAGGCCGGCCCGTCACCTACCTCACCTCCGCAGCACGGGCCGGAACGCCGTCCGCAGCCTGTCCAGGCACGTCCCACCCAGCTCGGTGCCTCCCGGGCCGCCCTTGGCGCCCCGCCCGAAGCCTGCACAGACACAAGCGGCTCGCGGTGGGCACGGCCCGTTCCCGCCGCCCTCCCCTGCCCGCTCGCCTCGAGCGGGGAAGCCTCGGCGTCTGCACCTGACACCTGGGCACGGCCGAACACCGGGGCTGTCACTGCGCGGGCGGGCTCACGCCGCGCCCTGCGTCCCGGCCCGGCCCGCGGTCCCGCCCGTCCCCGCGGCCCCGCCGCCGCGGGTACCTTCGCCCGCCGCCGCGAACTGGCACGGCTCCCCCAGGCCGCGGTGGGACGCGCAGCTCCGCGGGAGCGGCTGCAGGTTGAAAGCGGAGCTCCGGAAGGCCTTGGCGGGCAGGGGCTGCTCCCCCGCCGCGCCGCCGCCTCCCTCCGCGCCGCGGCCCTCGGGGCTGCCCCTGCGCGCCGCGCTGGCCCCGGCGGTGCGCGCCAGAGACCAGATGCGCGGCTTCTCCGCGGGCGCGTAGGGCGGCGGCGGGCCGGCCAAGGAGGCGGGGGCGAAGTCCGCGGCGGGGGCCTTGGCACAAGGAAAGGCGTGGAAGGGGCCGGGCAGGCTGCAGTCGCTCCGCGGAGCCTCGGGCAGCGCCGCGCCCAGGCTGGGGGCTTCCTGCAGGGAGCTGGTCCGGCCCTTCTCCGGCTTCCCCGCCTCCTCCTCCTCCTCCTCCTCTTCCTCCTCCTCCAGGTCGCTGAAGCGCAGGTCCTTGTCCTCCTTGTAGCTCTTCTGCTCTGCTTGGACACACACGGGGAAAAAAGGGGTGGCAGGGCGTTAGTGCGGGTGCGGGAAAGTTGGGGGGGCCTCGAAAGCGGCCGTCACTTCGAGCCTACTTGGAGGCGCCCGTCTGCCTCTCCCGCCTACCTCTGCCTTCACCTTCCGCACTGTATTCATCCTCTTCCCTCGGGGTTTCTTCTTTCCTCTCTTCCCCGGCTTTGTTCTTGGGAGACCAGGTCATTTTGTTTTCTTTCTTAAGCCTCCGTCTGGCGTTAGCAAACCAAGTGGACACTTGCGTCAGGGTCATTTTAGTGATGATAGCCAGCATGATTTTCTCTCCTTTGGTGGGGTAGGGGTTTTTGCGGTGCTCGTACAGCCAGGTCTTGAGAGTACTCGTCGTCTCTCGCGTTGCATTTTTGCGTCTGGCTGAACCACCGAAATCCACCGTCCCGTACCTGCTGGGAGATGATTAGGGATGGGGGGCCGGGCGGGAGTCCGGCAGGAACCCCCCGGCCCGGCCCAGCCGCGCTGCAGGCCGGTGTGGCCCCTGCCCACCTGCCTTCCTGCCCCTGCCCTCCTGACATCGCCGCCCAACTTTGGTTTCCGCTGTCTGCTGCTCCCGGGCGCCTCGTTTCTTTTGTACAACGTTTGTCAGGTCGGAGCCCCCCCGTCCCCCTCGTTTGATGTCGACCGCCGCCTCGCAGGGGGATGCTAATGCTGCCGGGCGCTGATCAAAGGGGTTTTACCTGTCGTACTGGTACTGCCCCAAGGAATGATCGTAGGAGTAGTAGGTAGCGGGCTGCGCGATTCCCGAGTGCAACGTGCCGGCGCCGTCTTTGATTTCATACTGGGGGTTCTGCAAGGGAAGCGGCGGCGTTTGGCGTCCAGCAGAGCCCCGCAGCCCCGGCTCCCCGCGGCAGCCGCGTCCCTCCGCGCCCCCCACCCCCGACGGGCCGGCGCCGCTCCCGCTCTCCCGCCGCGGTACCGACCGCGAACCACGAAGTTTCTCCCGCCTGTTGCACCCCGTCCTCCCCTCCGGAGCGCTGCCGGGCACTCACCAGCGCGGTGTAGAGCGCGGCGGGCTCGGCACCGTAGGGCAGGTAGTTGCCGTAGCCCTGGCCGGCGGCGTACGGGGCGCTGTACATGCCCAGCGCCGCATTGAGCTCGGCGCGGCCGGGCGCCAGCAGCCGGCTCTCGTACGGGGCGCAGCACAGGGAGGCGGCGGCCGGCGCCGAGGAGGCATCCGGCCCGGAGCGGGGGGCGGCCTCGCAGCAGGTCGTGCTGGGGCTGGCGGGCACGAAGAACTGCGGAGAGGAGAGAGCGGGACGGCGCCGAGTGACTGTCGAGGCAGCCCCATCGGGGGGAATTTAGGAGCGTGTGCGCGCCTGTGTGTGTGCGCGGAGGGGGGGGCGCGGTGAGGAGGGGGATAGGAAACGCGGGCTGGAGCAACTAATTATAGAAACCGGGAAATAAACCGGATGGGAAGCAGGAGCTCTTGGGAAGGGGGCACGATTAATCAAGCAGGCAAAACTTTAAGGAAATAATTGCTCTCGAAAAAGGTATAAGATCCGTAAGGCTCCATCCTTCCCGCCCTCGCTCGGTCCATCTGCATTGATTTAAAGGCAAAAAGTTGCGATTACAGTTAATTTGACAATAGACACAGCAGTAAATATGTCAGCCAACGCAATCGAAGGCATGTGATTTCAATAACTTCAAGGGGACAGCTAACTTCCCAAGCGAGGGAGGCACATCTTGCAGTGATTATCGTGTATAAATAATTCTACCCAAATAAATCGTGACTCGAAGTACGATATAGCTACGACTTAGTTAATACAGGGTGCCTTGGTGTGAGTGGGGGATGTCCTTCGGAAATCGCATGGGGGAAAAAAAAAAACTCTCGACAGATCCTAATAAAACACAGGAAAAGGACCGACCCGTGGAGGAAGGAGGGAGGAAACGGCACAGCCCGGTTCCGCAGAAACGCGAGTGAAGCCCCGAGCCCGCCGAGCGCGGTTCCCGCTGCCCGCGCACTCTCCGCGGTGCCCGGGCGGAGCGGTGCGGCGGGGGCTGCGCCCGGCGCAGCGCGGCCGCTCCGCGGGCTCGGGAAGCGGCCGTAGCTGGGATTTATGTTTTTTTATTTGTTTGTTGCACTTAAAACTGAACGGTGAAGGGTGGGGAGGAGGGGGAATTACCGGTTTCCTACACGCCTTTGCTGTGCACACTGCGAGTTATTTGTTTAAGCCTAACACAACACAAACGAGACATAAACACACACGCACATTTTTTAAAAAAAGGCTCCAGATGTGCCCTTTTAAAAAAATATTCTAAGTAAGGGAAAGGGAAGAAAAAAAAGGAGGGGGGGACAAGACATCTGGACAGCAGCAGCAGAATCTAAACAAAAGTGAGTGCTGCTCACTCGCCTTACCTGTGAAGTGGTGCTGTAGGGGTATCCGAACTGAGAGAAGGACATAGTTGCTCCTTATTTTTGGACCATAGGCAATATTTTCCCCCCAAGATCGATTGTAACTAAACCCTGCTTCAAGATGCACCTTCTCACACACACATTTCCACGTATGGCTTTTTTTTTTTTTTCTCAATTATAGATGATTGCACTTAAGAAAAGCAGCCAGACATCTGAGGCGGGGGGGGGGGGAGGGAGGGAGGAGGTTGGTGCCTGGATTAAAAAAATAGGCTACCCCCCACTTCCCATCGCTCTTAATAAATATGTTTGTATAGAGGGAGTTTAAAAAGCCGCCCCACATGTATAGAGAGTTTAAGTGCAAGGGGGCTTTTTCAAAGAGGGGGGGAAAATCACGTAGGGCTTGCAAGATACGGAGCTTGCCGGTATTATTTTCTGCTCTATAGGTCTTTAGCGTTCCTCGGTGGGCGAGGAGCGGGCTGACGTCACGGCCCTGCCGGCAGCAGCAGGCAGCGGCGGGCAGGAGCAGGCAGCGCCCCGCGCCCGCTCCCCGCACTTGTTTCATCTTGGTTCCGTGTTGTGTGTGATGCACGTCAAAGGCGGGACTGGGGGTGCCTCGCGGTTGGTCTCTTTTCCCTTTATTTTTAAACACGATCAAAATTTGTCAAAGGGGAATAAATATCAAGTAGGAACATCGCGGCACCCGCCAGCCCCAGCGTGCCCCTGCTTTGGGCCGGCCGCGGGGAGGACGAGCGCCGGGCAAGAGCGGCGGTGGCAGCGGCGGTGCCGGGCGCACCCAGGGAAGCGGCTCTCGACGGGGGCCCGGCCGACGCAGCCCCCCGGCCCTTCTCGCTGACCTCACGCCTGTCCTCAGTGCAGGGCGCTGCTGTACAACTCGGCCCCGGTTCTGCACCGAAGCCGCTGAGCCCTGCTCCCCGCCTCGGCGTCGCTGCCCGTCGCGGCGGCCCGGAGCCGCGGGAGCGGGGTCAGAACTCGCCCCGCACAGCGTGCGCTGCCTGCCTGGGCAGGGGCCGGGCCGGGGCCGGGACAGAACACGGGCCGCAGAGCAGCCCGAAGCCCATTCTCCAAGGACTGCTGGGCCCCTTGTTCCCCCTTAGCCCCGTGATGGTCCCTCCGGGAGCGGGGGGGCCGGGGCGGTGGCAGGTCAGCGGGGCGGTGATGGATGGATGGATGGATGCTGCCTGCAGCCCGGCCGGCCCGCTACCGCCACGGCGTAATTGCATCAATTAACAAATGAAAATGCCCTTGTTTAACCAGGGACTTACATATTGCGAATTTGCCTTTGAGGCGAGATCACCGGGAGGTAAACTGGGATTTCCTCCCGCAAGAGCTTGGAGCTGCCAAGGCGCTCCCGGGCCGGACAGGGCGCGATGCATTGCCAGTGGCAATTCATAAAGAAAAAGAAAACCAAGGAAAAACGCGGCCCGGGGCGGCCCGGCGGCACTTGTCCCGAGCACGGCGGGGCCGCGTCCCGGGGAGCCGGCGGCCAGCCCTGGCAGCCTTGCCCGTGCCCGTGCCCGCCCCGCCGGAGCCGCTCCGCTCCGCCTCCGCGCCGCTCCCCGACGGGTGGCGCTGCCGATCCGCGAGCGATGCGCGCCGGCCCGGCCCGGCCCGGCCCGGGGGCCGCTCCCCTGCACAGCCCGAGCCGGGCGGCCCCTGCCCTGCCCTGCCCTGCCCGTGCGGGCCGTGTCCGCCGGCAGCCAGCGAGCGCAGCCGCGACGGGCCCCGCCGGCCCCTGCGGGAGCTGCGCGCTGGCGGAGCGGCTCCGCGGTCCGCAGGGGTGCGGAGCCGGCTGCCCGCGCCGTCGGGGCCGCTGCCCGCGGGGCCGGAACGACGCGAGGGGAGCGGGGTGCCCGAGCCGCGTCCGCCCCGCCGGGGCGAGCGGAGGGGCCCGGGGCTCAGGGCCGGCTGTCACAGCTCTCTGTTTCGCCCGCAGCCCGGCGAGACGGAGCGCTGGAAAGCCGAGCCTTGTCAATTGACGTTAACAGGGGCAATAACTTAAAATTCATTAAAGAACACCTTTGGGTAACATTACTGCTAATTATTTAATTGCAAGAATCCCTATGGGGAAAATTATGCTAATTATAAAGTAATAAAACCACTTGTTCTAAAGCACTTAATTCAGCAAAATTTAGTCTTTTCACCAGAACGCTTTGTATGTTATTTGATGGAAGAAACAACAAGAGTGGCTGTGTGCTCATCCTGCCTGCGGCTCAGAGCCCAAAGGAGCTGTCGCTGGCAGTGTGTTTGTGCTGGCAGGTTGCATGCAGGGCTCTTGTCCTTGCTGAAGCACTAAAACTGGGACAGAATTCACTGTACAAAAAAGCATTTTTATAACAGAGATCATGCAGATGAAACATTGCATTTTCCAATCTTTATCACGCACAATCAACATGAAAGCAATTCTGTTACCTGTCAGGGATGTTGTAGCTGAGCCAAGCTTTGGGAAGTGGCCTTTCCCAAGCCAGCTCTCTCCACTTACAGCACTCTGCCCCATGGAGAGGTTTCAGCAGCATTTTTTCTAGACATGCTCAGGAGTCGTCCAGATGACCCCTTTAATTGCCCTTACAACCTGGGACAGTGAATGGCATTCCTGGTAACAAACACAAGGTCTGCTGTGCTCCCCAGCTCTTTAGGAGGACACAAACTCTGTCTCTTTGTGTTCTGAGCACTGCCACCATTCACTCTGCCTGTCCATCACTGAGCCACCCTACTCTGCATGTCAAAGGTGCCAAAACATCTTTCTGTGATTTGTAAATATTGGCATAAACCTCCTGTTAACAAGTTCCTGAACCCGGATTGGCAGAGGGTAGCTTTGGGTTGGAATGTGCAATTTGCCATTTTTTGTCATTGCAGGGAATCAGCTTCAGCAGCCCAATTTCCATTCTGCACATACACCATGTCTCAGAGAGACAAGTGATGCTGTACATGGTCACTGCAGATCTTTCTTTCTCTAAATCTGTGTCATCTCTCTCCTGCGTGCAAGCATATCATCCCACCCGCCCCCACAACGTGCATTCCCTTCACCCAGTTGTCCTGGTGAGGAGTGTGTGACTACAAACACGAGCAAAACCAGAAAATGATCTCTCTTGATTCACAAACTTTTGTTCTTGAAAGAGAGGACTGCGAGGCTTAACTGTAAACATTTCTGCAAGCAGTTCTTCTTGGAGCGAGGCAGGAGTTCAAATGCAGCCAACAATGCGATTTTTGATGCCTTTAACATCAACATAATTTGGTTTAGCTCTGATACTGCTTTGCTCAGGAGGTAATTGCAAGGGGTGAAAGTGACAGTATGTGCTTCCCACCGATGCAAATGCAGCTGCTGATAACTGCAAATGAAATAATAGATTAATTGAAATAAGCAGGGGAAGAAGAAAGCAGCTTCAAAAACATGGAGCAGAAATGTGGCTGAGAAGAAAGTGTCTTTATATTTTAGAATACAGGGGGATTTTTTTGGCTGTTGCTTTTTTGTACTGAGAAAATGAAAATTCTTCAAGTCCATGCATGAATAAACAAGTACAGCTGGGCAGCCTAATACATAATTTATACTGATCAGTCACTGCAGATTTAACTGAATAAAGCCAAAATGAACACTAATTGTTTTGACAAACTAAAATAGTGTATATGATGGCTTATTGTGAAGCTTGCTGGTACTATCCTTATCTCAGTGGCTATTTTCAAGACTGATTTCTGCATGAGGGGTAGAAACATATTGGGAAAATATAAGGATTAATATCTTATGGAGGATAAAAAATTTTAGTTGCTTAACATACAAGCAGAAAATAGAAAGAACTGTTTTCAGGAGAGAGGGGAGAACTGGCACAGTGAAGTGTGGGACAAGAGCTGATTTAGGGGGTGAGGTATTGCTGAGGTAATGGGTGGTACCTTCTTGGCTGAAGGCTAAACCTGAAAGTAGTATTTTGTTTTTGTCACATTTGAAATACATCAGGAATAAATTTGCCTTTGGATACTTGTCTTCTGAAAGGGGACATCCAAAAAGTTGTCAGTGAATTTCTGGACAGTTATGTATGTAGGGTCATTAATCTAAGAAGCTACACACTTTTGTTACGTGCAGAGTGAGAGAAATACAAGGCTGGGGCTTTGCTTTTCTTCTCCAAAACCTCTCATTGAGATGAATGGCTGAATGAGAACAATTTAAGATATCATTTGGAAATAAAGCAAGGCACAGACAAAGGTAATAATGTTCACAGGGGTCCCTAAGCACCATTTCTATGTGGGCTCCTTTGTGTGACAGTGAGCTGCTTCTTCCTCTCAGTCCTCTGCAGTGGCCTCCCCCTGCCACCTCACCCTCCTGCCTCTTCTCCAAGGGCTGGCAGCTCCACTTGGCTCCCATGATGATCATCACTTCCATGATGATCAGTGGGTTTGCTGAATCTCAGATTATCACTGTGTTTGCTGTGATTACATTTTGGGAATGGCTGTAAAATTGACAGCTGGGTTTGAGTGTCACTGGAGATGGGGGATGGTGGGACCCAGGGCTTTATTCTGAACCCTTCTGTGCCCAGTGGCAGCCAAGTGAGTGGAAGCTGGACATGAATCTTTCCCAGGCTCTGGGGTGGTACTTTCCTTGGATCTGGGGCCATCACTGACTTGTGATCACCCCAATCTTTGAAAACTTACTTTGCTGATGAGAAAACACTTTTGTAAAGAGTGCTCTACATCTGGGTAGTCGAGCACTTCTTTACTGGCTTTCTTCAGGTTATCTGTAGTTATTATTCTGTAAAGTATGGATGCATCTAGCGAAGATAGATCTACACAAAACCTGTGAGAACTTCCCCTCTGAGAACTTGTTTGTGCTTTGCTGGGATGTGGGCTAATTTATGCCAGGAGACTTAGGGCAGCTCTCATTCAGTCTGACCCCTCTGTGCATTCAGTTTCCAGTAAAATCAATTTTAAAAAAATTAATTTTTTTTTTTGTGATGAAGCTGGTCTGACACATCATGAGCAAGGTTCACCATTAAGTGCCCATCTGTGTCTGTGCTCTTGTGGCCTGTGCATCAGCTCGTGTG